TTAGAAACTGGCTGGGTGTGGTGGCTCACACCTGTAATCCCAGCACTTTGGGAGGCCAAGGCAGGTGGATCACGAGGTCGAGTTCAAGACCAGCCTGGCCTATTTTTTTGAGACGGAATCTCGCTCTGTCGCCCAGGCTGGAGTGCAGTGGCGAAACCTCAGCTCACTGCAAGGTCCGCCTCCCGGGTTCACGCCGTTCTCCTGCCTCAGCCTCCCAAGTAGCTGGGACTACTGGCGCCTGCCACCATGCCCGGCTTTTGTGTGTGTGTGTGTGTGTGTGTGTCTTTTTGTGTGTGTGTGTGTGTTTAGTAGAGACAGGGTTTCACCGTGTTAGCCAGGATGGTCTCTATCTCCCGACCTCGTGATCCGCCCGTCTCGGCCTCCCAAAGTGCTGGGATTACAGGCGTGAGCCACCGGGCCTGGCCTAATATTCTTAATTGGATTCTCCCACGGCCTCAGAGCAGTGCCCCGTTCCTCAAGCAGCTTTTCAAAGTCCCAGTCCCAAGTCTCACCTTTTCAGTCCTGATCCCGACCCCGCTCACATAATGCGGAGGATGCTCCGCCCATGGACGTTTCTCATTGCCTCATATACCATACCCAAGGCTTTCTGCGACTTGGCCTCCCCCTGCCCACTGGACATTTTCTTGTTTCCCCTTCTACTGCTTATTACGGGCCAGTCTCCAGCCTTGATTTTTTTTTTTTTTTCCCCCTAGGAAAACGTTTAGGGGGAAATGCCAGAGAATACTTATGCCCCCCATAAAGCAATCCCAATAGACCTGCTACTACTGAGCAAGTCCAGATAACACTGTAATAACGCCCTTCACAAGAAGGTCTCTCCTTGGTCATGCCCTCGACAAGATTCTCACCTCAGAGGGTCTTGGTCTGTTCATTCATTCATTCATTCACTCAAACTCTGATCAATTTGTAGATACACCAATAACCAAACCAGAAGAAAACATACTCTACCCACATTGGAGCTCAAAAGCTACTGGGAGAAGACAATGAACAAAATTAACATTAAAAAATACATAGAGTATTAGGCCAGGCATGGTGGCTCACACCTGTAATCCCAGCACTTTGGGAGGCTGAGGCGGGCAGATCACTTGAGGTTAGGAGTTTAACACCAGCCTGGCCAGCATGGAGAAACCCCATCTCTACTAAAAATACAAAAATTAGCCAGGCATGGTGGCGGGTGTGCCTGTAATCCCAGCTACCTGGGAGGCTGAGGCAAGAGAATTGGTTGAACCCGGGAGGCAGAGGTTGCCGTCAGCCGAGATCACGCCACTGCACTTCAGCCTGGGTGTTGGAGTGAGACTCTGTCTAAAAAAAAAAAAAAAAAAAAAAAAAAAATGCTGGGGGCGGTGAACTCACGCCTGTAACCCAGCACTTGGGGAGGCTGAGGGCGGAGGATCACAAGGTCAGGAGTTCAAGACCAGCCTGGCCAATATGGTGAAACCCCATCTCTACTAAAAATCAAAAATTAAAATTAGCCAGGCGTGGTGGCGGGTGCCTGTAATCCCAGCTATTGGGGAGGCTGAGACAGGAGAACTGTTTGAACCCAGGCGGCAGAGGTTGCAGTGAGCCGAGATTTTGCCACTGCACTCCAGCCTGGGAGACAGAGCAAGACCCTGTCTGGGAAAAAAAAAAAAAAAAAAAAAATTAGAAGGTGATTCATTCTATGGAGAATAATTAAGCAAGGGCTGGTGAAAGGGAGTGCTGAGGGAGGGGTGAATGTGCAGTTACTTATGTACTAAATTTGCTGACCTCACTCCCATCACAGGGACTTCCCACACGATATTACCTCTGTCTGGAGTGTTTCCCCATCAACCCCTGCAGTGATTTTTTAAAACAATTTTTAATTTTCTGGGTACAAAATAGGTATATTTAGGTATATATATTGAGAGGGTACATGAGATGTTTTGATACCGGCATGTAATGTGTAATAATCATATCATGGAGAATGGGGTCCTGCAGTGATTTTAAAACAGCTGCAAATTATCTGACACTCTTCTTATCAAGATGCGGAGTTTATGACTGCTTTCTATGAATCTGGGTGGGACTGGGATAGCTTCAACCAATAGAAAACAGTGGAAGTGACACAGTGATTTCTAAGGCTATGCGATGAAAGGCAATGCAGCTTCTTGACCAATGTTCTTGTCCACTGGAATGAGCTATAGAACCATGGTGCATCATATGCGAAGTGTGACTATGCTGAAGCAGCCATGCTTTGAGGAAGCCCAAACCAATGGAGCAATGTATAGGCATTACAGTCAGTAGTCCCAGTCAGACTGGGAGAAGACCATGGAAGAAGTTCCCGAGGATTCCACTCCACAGCCATCAAGTCTATCAAGTCACCTTTGAGTCCTTCCAGTTGAATCCCCAGACATCATGGAGCAGACAAAAATTGATTCCAACTGAGCCCTGTCCAAATCTCTGACTCCCAGAATCCATGAGCATAATAAAATAATCATTTTATGCCACTAAGTTTTGGGAACGGTTATCCAATAAAAGTAATTAGGACAGCCCTTTGTTAACTAGATAATTTCTATCAGCTTACGTGTAAGTTCCTCAGGAATGCTTCTAGACTCCACCAGTGACCCAGCTAGATCAGGTTCTGCTACTGTAACATCTTTCATTTCTCCTTATATCTCAACAGCTATTTTTCTTGTCGATTACATTGTTTGTTTGTTTTTGAAATGGAGTCTCACTCTGTTGCCCAGGCTGGAGTGCAGTGGCACCATCTCAGCTCACTGCAGCCTCTGCCTCCCGGGTTCAAGCAATTCTCCTGCCTGAGCCTCCCAAGTACCTGGGACTACAGGCACCCGCCACCACGCCTGGCTAATTTTTAGTACAGACAAAGTTTTACTATATGGCCCAGCCTGGTCTCTAACTCCTGACCTCAAGTGATCTGCCCGCCTCGGCCTCCCAAAGTGGTGGGATTACAGGCGTGTGCCACTGTGCCCACTCTGATTTCATTTAAATGTATGGTTTGCTTAGAAATATTAGAAACTGGCTGGGTGTGGTGGCTCACACCTGTAATCCCAGCACTTTGGGAGGCCAAGGCAGGTGGATCACGAGGTCGAGTTCAAGACCAGCCAGACCAACATGGTGAAACCCTGTCACTACTAAAAATACAAAAAAAAAAAAAAAAAAAAAAAAAAAAAAAAAAAAAAAATTAGCCACACGTGGTGGCATGCACCTGTAATCTCAGCTACTTGGGAAGCTGAGGCAGGAGAATCGCTTAAACCCAGGAGGCAGAGGTTGCAATGAGCCGAGTTTGCACCACTGCACTCCAGTCTGGGTGACAGAACAAGACTCCATCTCAAAAAAAAAAAGAAAGGTTGGAAACAAGTATTTACCATGTCTGTGACATACAGAAGTTGCTAGCTATCCATCTCATCCCTCCGTTTTATAAATGCAGATATCAAAACAACCCCAATCATATATTCTCCATCATTTTATTATGAAAAGTTTCTAATATACAGCAAAGTTGAAAAATTTTTACAGTGGACATCACTTAGATCCACCACTTAGATCCTACCATGAACATTTTGCTATATTTGCTTTATCTCACATCTACCTATTACCCTATTTATCCATCAACCCAACTCATCTCTGGATGCATTTCAAAATAAATTGCCAACATTGGTATATTGTTCCCTAAATATCTCAGTGTACATG